TGTCTGATTTGGCTGAAACGTGAGGGGATATCCGAATCCGAACGGATATCCAGATGCGCCGGGCCCATCTCCAGTATTAGACATTTATTTGTATTGTCTCAGAATTTAAATACCCAAAAATACTGTATTTGTGTTGTCTCACTTTACTGAGACAATACAAATGTATTGTCTTTGGAAAGTGAGACAGGAATTCTGTATTGTCTCAGCGGGATGATCCCACCAAAAATGTCTCTGATACACATGATATTTGGCCGTATTGAAGAAAAAAGAAAAAAACAAAGACAATTTTTTTGCATTTGTAAATCCGAATCTCAGACAGTGGATTTTCTCACCAAAAAAGGAAATACTGATACCAGTATCAGGCTCAAGATAAAGACAATACGAGATGATACCAAATATGTGTCTCATCTCTGTTGCACCATTGCTAGAACACTAGACCACAGAGGCTTGAAATATTCATACTCTTAATTCAACCTTCATTTTCCATCTCATAATGCTCATTGAAAACACTTATATAACATAGCTTTTGACTTGCATAGAACAAACTAAAAATTCTTTCATGAAAATGATTTTCCATTTTTTCATCCTAATACTCATCAAGTTTTTCCATGCTTTACCAACATTGGGGTTACCTGTTAGCCATATCATTCAAGAACATCCACCAAGAATAGCTATTCAGGCAATTCCACACAACAAGAATATGATGAAGGAAACTACTGGCAGTGTCCCTGAGATATCTGAGGAAAGATCCATGGCCAATGCAGGTATGTCTGTCTTCAATTAAAAAAATTGACCTCAGATTCATCTAAAAATTTATTGGTCTGGAAACATATTTTGATTGAAACTAATCTGGACTCATTCTTACCTGCCATATTTTACAAACTTGAGTACCATCAGCAAAACAGATAAAACCAAATGATACAACAGAAAACATTTCATTTTCCCAAATGGGTAATATTCATATCAAGACAATTCCTGTTTCTCTATTTAAATTGTAAGGAATAGCTCAAACCAAGTGGGACTTTTTTATGTTAGCTTTGAAGGCAAACCCATGTGAGCCTCCGCGTAAGTCAAGCTTATATTATCATTGCTGAATAAGAAAAATCCCAAATTTGAAGTTTACTTACCATTCAACTGAATGTACTCCTCTGAAATTTTTCCATAATACTTATGGAATTAATATGGGTTTCACTCTCAAAATTTATGTTGATCCCTCTGGATTCTCATGAGTAACTCAGATTTTAGGACAGCACAAGGTTATCAAGGGAAAAATCCTTTTATACCTCCGCCATCACAGTACATGCCATCACCACAATTTGGGCAGCACCAACATCAAGCCTACCAGTACCAGAGGCCTGATGAATCATTGGGGAATAGGCCTCATTTTGATAACTTACAAGTGAAGACTAATACAAATTCAGTTCCAGGGTGTAAGTACCCAACATCAGATAAATACTAAGAATTCTGGCTTGAAAACTGAAGTCCAACTCAAACACAACTGAACAAAGCATCCATGTCTAATTTGAGTGCTTATGGTACAGTGAGCCAAGAAAACCCCAATATAGAGCATGGTGCAAATGAGGCAGAGAGACTTCCACTGGGAGAATGGACTGAAAATTAGTAAGTTGAGAAGACAATGAGCTACAAGATTTTATTTTTTCTAACCAAATACATGTGTGATTAATCTGATTTAAGGCTAGCTAATGATTATGCAAAAATGGCCATCAAACTAGAAAGAAATGTTGAAAGAAAGCTGAAAGAGTTTTACAAAAAGGAAAAGCCTCACATTGAGAAATTAAAGAAGAGTTCAAAAGAATTCATAGGCCATTTTCTGACTACTGCACCAAAAAAGGAGGAGAAAAGGGTGTAAAAATGCATGAGAGTAAGGAGGAAAAGGAAAATTCAGACTCAGATGACAATTCCTGGAAACCCTCCTCAGCTGCGTCTAGATTTTCCTCTGAACTTGAAGGAACACACTCATATAATATTGAATCCACTTCCAAACTGCCAGATAACAACTTTCAATTGGATTTGAAAACTTCAGATGATTCAAAAGGTTGCAGCTGCTGTATTAGCTTGGAGTGTTTATGTTTCTGTTTTGATTCAGAATAGTATGAAAATCTCCAGGCTTTTCTCCCATTCTGTCCATTTTCTTTTTGTCTTTTGCTTTTCCTGTTGCACTTCCCAAATTCAATTCTTCAAAATATTTTCCTGAAGTATTTCATGAATCACAATATTTCAACTAGTTTTCTTCTCTGCATCAAATCTGATGATAAAATGGATGATTTACCATCCAAATCTGCAGGCCTCCCAGATTTTATTTAGAGCCTCAAAAGCTAGGTTCATTGTGAAAAGCTAGACTTGGGTCTAAATGGATTCCTGAAAGTGTCAAAGATCCAATTAGAAGCCCTCCAATTTTTATGAGAGCCTTTCAGATTCAAATTTTCCCCATGGCAAAAGGGGTTGTATTGGTTACAACCCCCCATGGCAAGGTTGACCCAAGGCGACCAACATAACATTGCCCTTCTGGACTGATTTTATATCAGTTGGGCGGACCAATATGTGGGTGGGGCCAGCCAATATAAAATCAGGTTTCCAAGCCCAATTTCATATTAGGCACCTCCAGTTGACCTTACTGCAGGGTGTTGTAACCAACAAAACCCCTTTGGCAGTGCCCCTATTAATTTGTTTTCAAATTGAAATTTATTTCTAGCACTTTGAATGTGAGCCTAAATGGAGGACTTCCCATTGATATCTGAACACCCTAGAGAAACAGATCTGAAGCCAATTTTTGAAGGGAAATCTGATTCAAGTGCTACAGAACCAATGGGAAGTCCTTGAATCTATTCTGTAAATATATCAGGGCATGGAGAATTTAGCAAGAATTCAGCTCTAAATATACATGAAGGAAAGAGATACATAAAACTGCAGAAGAAAGGAAAAAAATCAAATGGGAGATGAATACTTGATAGAATTATTTATCAGAGCTTACACCTGCTCACCCAACAATGTCCATCTTCCCTCGACATTTTTGAATTCCACCAGTGCTTGTCCTTGAGTTCCTGGGGGTGAGGTGAAACCCCAAATTGTTTTTCTGAAAAAAGTGCTATAGTATGCTCAGTCGACATCACGCCCTGATAAAAAGCAACATGGAA